ACGTGTTGCCGATGCTAGGGTCCCTGGGTGGTGACTGGACGGCCGTGTGTGGACGCCTTTTTCACACAGCAGGGAATGGGCAGGAAACGGGGGCTCTGAGAGGCAGAGTCTTGGAAGCTGCCCTGGGCACAGACCTTACTTGCTGACCCCCTGGCCATCTAGTGGCAGCGCTGCACATGTGCCCGCCGAGCTCTGGGGAGGCCCCGTCCCTGCCCCACCACTTCTGCCAGCCCTGCAGAGCTGGCCTTGTGTGGGCGCCACTGTAGTGAGACAGCAGACAGTGCAGCCAGGGCGAGCGGGCAGCTCTCCGGGAGTCCTGAGCAGCATAGTGCGGTGAGGTGGGGTGACGGTGGCCTCTCCCATGATTCCCAGTCTACTCGGAAGTGTACTTAACAGGGGGCTCCACATGACCCTGACCTGAAGGTGGCCTGGCGGGAGAGGAACCCACCGCCTGCAGAAGCCCATGACCCCAGGCCGCCTGGAAACCTTATGAGGGTGATGTTTTTATTATGGATGAGTTCTTCCTTTTCCTCTGCAACTTTATCTGAAACACACCAGGGAAATTGACCAAGAGTTCTAACATGTTTCACTGTAAGTTCTCCCAGACCATGAATGGTGGCTCAAGGAGGAGAGAAGAGGCTGCATTCTGGCACCTTCCAGCATCTCCCTCCAGGCTAGCGGGAGGAGGAGCGGGGGCTTCCACCGGACCCTTTCCCAGAGGGCCAGGGAAACAAGAGCTGGGGCAGGGGACCTCAGCCCTCAGGGAGGAGCAAGGGTGACCACGGCAAATATCACACCGGGGCAGGGGGATCTTGGGACAGGTACAAACCAGTACTGTCCTGGACTAAACCAAAGTGTGCAGTAAGCTGTCTTTATAGTCTTTGAATTTAGGGGGCAAACTACTAGATATGGTTTTAAAGTTATAATTAAAATTTCCGATTGCCTTGAACAAACAACTGTGGGTTGAACGAAAAGGCGTTGCACGTTGGAAGCAGCTATTTTTAAGAGAAGCTGTAGAGTGTATGTGCGCGTGTGTGGCCAGGCAGGTGAGGGCTTGGCGTGTCAGGCCCTCTTGGAACTTGGAGGTTTCAGGGCAGCCGCTCTACCACTCTGAGCCTCATCTTCCCCAGGTGTCAGATGGAGCTGATGAGTCCCGGATCTCTGCCCTGTCCACCCCAGGCCGCTCTCACGGGGCTGTTGTGAAGGATAAGGTGTGTGAGACCGGCAAGGAGCTTGCTGAAGGGCTGGGCAGATGTGGCTTCCGCTCAGTCCGAGGCGGAAAGCCTGCCTGAGGAGGTGGTGGTCTTCTTGGGAAGGTGGGCCGCTGGTGCCCCTGCTTCTGCCCTGCCTGTGCCTGAGCCAAGCCATTTGAGGCTCCTCCCTCCACTCGGTCAGGGGCTTGTGCCATCTGTTTGAGTAGCAGGATGCTGCTGTGGACGTTGGGTGAGAGGGCCTGGTGGTCCCATCTGCATGCCGAGAGCCAGGTGTTAGTGGGCAGTGCCCAGCACACACTCAGCCTCTGTGTCCTTGTGTCTGTGAGCTAAACCCAAGTTGGCCAGAAGCCACGTCGGACACCTGAGCAGCACGGACACTGGTCTGCTCTGGGCCCTCTGCCTGCCTCTGGGAGCTGGTGGGCCGCAGCTTCTTCAGGACCTGGCTGGAGGGAAAAGGTGGGTGTTGGGAACAGACAGTCCCATCCCTGTACCAACCCTGCTATGAACTCCTACATGGCCCCAGGCACGGCCCCTCACCTACAGAAAGGGGAAGGGAGGGTCAGCTCATAGGGCTGGGGTGAAGACCAGAAGAAACGCCATTGCCACATTGCCAAGCTCACGTGTGAGCCGCAAGGCAGGGATTCCCAGCAAAGGGAAACTCCCTACCCATGTGTCCAGGAAGGTGAAGAGTTTGCAGTTCTTCGAGGCCAGGTGAAAGAACAGACCAGGTGCATTGTCCTCTGAGCCCTGGTTCTTCCCAGGTCTCCCTCCTGCCAAGGTTTCAATTAGGTGTCCCTGCACTAATCCGCTGTGTACTGTGAGGGTGCGAGGTGGACAGTCGTGGAAGTTGCTGCATTAGGAGGCGTGCTAAGGAGTCATAATTAGTCACGTGTTCCTATAAAATGTGTTCTCCTCGTTGTCACCATGAGGTTTGAACATCCACAAAGTGTGTGAGGCATCAAGGATAAATGGAATCAAGTGTGTGGCTGCGAAGGCAGGTGGGGCCCCTTGCCCCTTGCCCCTTGCCCCCTGGCCCCTGGCCAGAGGACTGTTGATGAGCTACTCTTTGAGCCTCTGTTTCTCATCAGTAAAATGGGGCTAATGATCACCACTGTGAAGAGCTGTCATGAAGCTCGTGAATGTCCAGCTCGGCCTCTGGAGCCTGATGGCTGCTCAGTGATGCTGGTTTCCTTTTGTTTCTATTGGGATGCAGCTTCAGGCTTGGAGATGAAGAGTTTGCTTTGGGTACAAGATCTGATAGGTTGGGAACCATGTGACCAGATTAGTGACAAGTAGGTGGAAAGCCCTGGGAACCCTGGGGGGATTCTCATTACACAGCCTCAGTCTCCACAGTCTCTACCAGGCGTTCCCAAACTACGGCCCGAGGGCTACCTGCGGCCCCCTGAGGCCATTTATCCACCCCCCCCCACCCCCCGCCGCACTTCAGGAAGGGGCACCTCTTTCATTGGTGGTCAGTGAGAGGAGCACAGTATGTGGCGGCCCTCCAACGGTCTGAGGGACAGTGAACTGGCCCCCGTGTAAAAAGTTTGGGGATGCCTGGTCTCCACTGTTGGCATGCCTGGCCCGCTGGTGCTGATATTATTGGTCCATCTGGTGCTCAGCCTATCACAGCCCAGGCAGGAACCAGGCTCATTAATTGCCATCTATTCTTAGCCCAGGGGTCTCCTGGTGGGAACAGACCCCCGCCGCCCCAGGAGGGCTGCCAGCTCACTGGTGGCAGCAGATGGCTGCACATGTCTGGGCGGGCACATCCAGGCCTGTCGCCAAGCAGCTTCTTCAGCTGTCCCCGAACCTGTGTTTGTCCGAGACTCCAGGAGGCTTTGCACAGCCTGTTTCTGTTGCCCTTCTTGCAGTCTTGGGGCTGCAGGGTCCTTTAATGCGGTGCCCTGCCAGCCCTGGCTGAGGAGCACACCAAGGAACCTTGGCAACAGGGTGATACCTCTGATGGGTCAGGTAGAAGTGGTGCTACCTGGTAAGTACCTACCTGCTCAGAGGTGAAGTAGCCCCAACAAATGGTTTGCCGAGGGTCTAGGGCAGGCGTCCCCAAACTTTTTACACAGGGGGCCAGTTCACTGTCCCTCAGACCGTTGGAGAGCCGCCACATACCGTGCTCCTCTCACTGACCACCAATGAAAAAGGTGCCCCTTCCTGAAGTGCGGCAGGGGGCCGGATAAATGGCCTCAGGGGGCCGCATGCGGCCCGCGGGCAGTAGTTTGGGGACGCCTGGTCTAGGGTTAACTCTGAACCAAGCCAAAGCTCTTCCATCTGATGTGTTTAGCCAAAGGTGCGATGTCTTTATCATAATGCCAACATCATGCTGGGCCCTGGACCCAGCACAGGCAGTGCTCAGAAGGGAGGCCTGGCATTCTTGCTCCCAGCAAGGCTGCGGTGGGGCCCAGACAGATGGTTGCCTCCTGGACTGGACATCACATCTTCTGACTGGAGTTTATTCATTGAGGCCCTACTGTGTGTTTGATGCTAATGTGAAGAGCCTCATTTAATCAGCATAGTGATCCTGTAAGTTTCTCTTGCCGTTTCTGATTTACAGAGGAAAACTGAGGTTCAGACACATTTCGTGACATGCCCAGAGTCATGGAGGGTGGATCCCAAGTTGTGCAGCTTTCACTGTACCACATTGCAGCAAACTCTACTAGGCCAGGGTTGTTGCTCCTAAAAGCTATTCACTGTGGCTGTGTCCTTAAACGGAGCACCAATAAGCCGCCTCAAAGCCATCTGGCTTCCTCTGCAGACTTGTGGTGGTGTTACCAGTGGAGGGTGTCCAGGTTCTTAGTGTCTTGAACAAAGAATTAGACAAAATGCGTGCACGTGTGCGCGCGTACACACACACACACACACACACACACACACACACACACCACACACATACACAAAAGAATGAAGCAATAAAAGCAGAGATTGATTGAAAACAAAAGTACACTCCACAGGTTGGGAGCAGACCCAAGCATAGGGGCTCAACAGTCTGGCTGCAGAATTTTCTGGGGTTTAAATACCATCTAGAGGTTTCCCATTGGTTACTTGGTATACACCCCATGTAAATGAAGCAGTGGCCCACAATCAGTTTGATTTATTGCAGGAGGGGACCAATCAGAGGCTGAAGTGAAGTTACAAAGTTACACCCGATGTGGACATCTGACTGGTTGAGGAAAGCAATCAGAGGTTAAAGTGAAGTTATAAAATTATACTCCTATGCAAATGAAGACAACCTCTGACCAGCCTGATTGGTTGCAGGAGGGGACCAATCAGAGATACTTTCGGTTTTTCATCTGCCAGACAGAAAAGGCAGAGTGTGAGGGTAAGGGGTGGAGGGTGAGGGGTGGCAAGGAATGCAAAGGAAGTAGTTAGTTGGGTGTGGAAAGTTGGGGTTTTCCTTTTGATTTAGCTGTAGGAAATCAGTGTGAATCAACCTTGTGTTCCCTGCCTCCAGACTCTATTCTGCCTCTGTTGGGGCTCTGATGTGCCAACCAGGGTGCCCCGAATGATGTGGCTGACCTGACTGTGGCCCTTCTTTGTGGGTGGCCATTTCTGGGAGTTCCAGCTGCTCACTAGATGCTCATGAGTCAGCCAGTATGAGAGGTCCTTGGGACTAATCACCTGCCAGGTGTTCCCACACTTAGGGTCTTGGGGTCTGGGCCTCCTGTACCCAATCCCTGCTGTTTGGGCCTGGCTGATGCCCTTGCAGTCCGATTGGAACTCTGACCCCTGGGTCAGCTGGCCTCACTCATCTTGTCCCTCTGTCTTTCCCAGGGCATCGATGTCACAGGCCCCACCTTTGCTGATGGCGAGCTCATCCCCAGGGAGCCCGGCTTTTTTCCCGAGGACGAGGAGGAGGCTATGACGCTGGCCCCATCTGAGGGCCCCCAGGAGTTGGACACAGACAGCCCCATGGAGAGCACTCAGAGCCTGGAGGGGTCTGTCGGGAGTCCCGCCGAGAAGGACGGGGGACTCGGGGGCCTGTTTCTGCCAGAGGACAAGTGAGTTAAAACCACCTGAAGCTCAGTATTTGCCTCTTGGCCCAGAAATGTGGCTCTTAGAAAGTTTCTCCAGGAAGTAAATGTGAAACGTCCTCAAAATGTGTGTCAGATGCATTAGCATCATGGGTATTCTGGGGTTTAAATACCATCTAGAGGTTTCCCATTGGTTACTTGGTGTACACCCTATGTTTTTAAATTTAATTTTACTTTATTTTCAGTCCTAGTCCTGTAGACAAAGTCAAGATTTATTTATTTATTTATTTATTATTGAGACACAGTCTTGCTCTGTTGCCCAGGCTGGAGTGCAGTGGTGCAGTCTTGGCACACTGCAACCTCTGCTTCCTGGGTTCAAGTGATTCTCCTGCCTCAGCCTCCTGATTAGCTGGAATTACAGATGCGTGTCACCACACCCAGCTAATTTTTGTATTTTTAGTGGAGACTGGGTTTCACCATGTTGGTCAAGCTGGTCTCAAACTCCTGACCTCACAATTCACCCACCTTGGCCTCCCAAAGTGCCACCATGCCTGGCCAAAGTCAAGTTTTTTTCTTTGTTTTTTTTTGTTTGTTTTTTTGAGACGGAGTTTCGTTCTTGTTACCCAGGCTGGAGTGCAGTGGCGCGATCTTGGCTCACCACAACCTCCGCCTCCTGGGTTCAGGCAATTCTCCTGCCTCAGCCTCCTGAGTAGTTGGGATTACAGGCACACACCGCCATGCCCAGCTAATTTTTTTTATTTTTTAGTAGAGACGGGGTTTCACTATGTTGACCAGGATGGTCTTGATCTCTTGACCTCATGATCCACTCGCCTCGGCCTCCCAAAGTGCTGGGATTACAGGCGTGAGCCACCGCACCCGGCCAAAGTCAAGTTTTAAATGACTAGTTAATGATATGAGATATATGATCTCATTGTTTTAAGAAGCAGGTTGTGGCTAGGCATGGTGGCTTATACCTGTAACCCCAGGACTTCGGGAGGCCAAGGCAGGAGGATCACTAGAGCCCATGAGTGTAAGGTTACAGTGAGCTGTGATCACATCACTGCATTCCAGCCTGGCAACAGAGCAAGACCCTGTCTTAAAAAAAGGCAGGTTGCAAAGATATGCAAGATATCCATAAGATCAGCTTTGTTTTTTTTTTTTTTTTTGAGACGGAGTTTCGCTCTTGTTACCCAGGCTGGAGTGCAATGGCGCGATCTCGGCTCACCGCAACCTCCGCCTCCTGGGTTCAGGCAATTCTCCTGCCTCAGCCTCCTGAGTAGCTGGGATTACAGGCACGCGCCACCATGCCCAGCTAAGTTTTTGTATTTTTTTAGTAGAGACAGGGTTTCACCATGTTGACCGGGACGGTCTAGATCTCTCGACCTCGTGATCCACCTGCCTCGGCCTCCCAAAGTGCTGGGATTACAAGCTTGAGCCACCGCGCCCGGCCAAGATCAGCTTTGTTAAAGACACAAACCTATGCCAGGCAAGTGGCACGTGCCTGTAGTTCCAGATACTTGGGAGGCTGAGGCAGGAGAATCACTTAAGCCCAGGAGTTCTAGGCTCTAGTGCACAATGCTGACCAGGTGTGTGTCTGCACTAAGTTTAGCATCAGTATGATGACCTCCCCGGAGTGTGGCACCACCAGGTTGCCTAAGGAGGGATGAACTGGCCCAGGTCGGAAACAGAGCAGGTCAAAACTTGCGTGCTGATGAGTAGTGAGATCACACCTGTGAATAGCCACCACACTCCAACCTGGGCAGTATAGCAATACCCCATCTCTGAAAAACCAAACACAGACGTATATGTTAGGAAATGCCTTGAAAAAATTAATCTAGAAAACTAAGCAGTTATTTCTGTATGGTAGAATGATCATTTTAATTACCTCCCATCTACTCTGTTATATTTTCTACATCGAGCATGTATTCCCATAATCAGAAATGTTATTTAAAAGCAATATTAAGACCTAAGTGACTTCCCAGGGAAGCAGTGTCATTGGCAGAAAGGATTCCTTTCCATTTTCAGCCCTCGCCAACACTCTTGAGGGATACAGAGCTGTGGGTGATGGGAAGCCACCACCACTGTGGCTGAGGAAGCCGAGGGGATTCCAGGTGGCAGCCCCTTGCCAGAAGAAGGTGATGGTTACGGCTGCTGCAGGGACTTGGAGAGAGGGAAGAGAGGGGTTCCAGTGTTGGTTGAACCACATAAAATTGGCAGCTTTTAATCATTTCCATCTTCAAAAAAAGGTAATTTCATGTAGGTCAACCTAGTACGTCTCAGTGTAGGATTTCTCAAACTCAAGTGATTGTCAGAGTCCTGATGTTCTTGATGGGGCCCTTTGGAGCTGTGGATGGAGAGAGGGGCCGTGCTGCTTTCTGGGAGTAGCCTGTAATCCCAGCACTTTGGGAGGCCGAGGTGGGCAGATCACCTGAGGCCAGAAGTTTGAGACCAGCCTGGCCAACGTGACAAAAATCCCGTCTCTACTAAAATTACAAAATTCGCCAGATGCGGTGGCAGGAGGCTACTTGGGAAGCTACTCACAGCTACTCAGGAGGCTGAGGCAGGTGAAGCACTAAAACCTGGAAGGCAGAAACTGCAGTGAGCTGAGATTGCGCCACTGCACTCTAGCTGGGCGACAAAGTGAGACTGTGTCTCAAAAAAAAAAAAAAAAGATACATTTAAAAAATAATACAGTATAACAACTATTTCCATAGCATTGACATTGTATTAGGTATTATAAGTAATTTAGAGAGGATTTAGAGGGTGCAGGAGGATGTGTACAGGTTGTATGTGAATACTGTGCCATTTCATACCTGGGACTTGAGCATCCTCGGAGTTTGGTGTCTACAGGGGGTCCTGGAACAAATCCCTCTTGGATACCAAGGGACAACCATACTCAGTCTTACAGTAGCTAAAAGTTTAGATCTATTTATATTTATATTCATTTTCTGTATTACTCCCAATGTTTTAACAAATCTTTCAACAACGATTTGATATTCCACAATCTAATAATTTACTAGCATTATAATTTAATAATTATAATTTGGTTTAGCTGTAGCAAGTCAATTAGGTCATAAGCAATGTTTTGCTACTCTAGGGTAGCATGGGTAGAATTGATTTCAACTGCAGTAACGGTTTATGTGGCAAGATGTTTCCCTTTAGATAGGGTCCCCAAAATGTACTTAACGGGTCAAGAGGGCCAGGTACTGTGGCTCATACCTGTAATCCCAGCACTTTGGGAGGCCGAGGTGAGCGGATCACAAGGTCAAGAGATCGAGACCATCCTGGCCAACATCGTGAAACCCCGTCTCTACTAAAAATACAAAAATTAGCCAGGTGTGGTGTCACAGCTACTCAGGAGGCTGAGGCGGAAGAATCGCTTGAACACAGGAGGCAGAGGTTGCAGTGAGCCGAGATTGCACCACTGCACTCCAGCCTGGCAACGGAGCAAGACTCCATCTCAAAAACAAAAAAACAAAAAAACAAAAAAACAGGTCAAGAGGTACAGACTTAATTGGTAGTGCCAGTTAAAGGGAAATGCCTGGTCAGCCTCCCCACCGTGGCTGTGGATGGGGACCCAAGAGTCCTCCTCTGACCCGGGCACTCTCTGACCCTCAGGTCCCTGGTCCTCACTCCGTCCATGACAACTTCGGACCTTTCTACACACTCCACCGCCTCGCTCATCAGCAACGAGGAGCAGTTCGAAGACTATGGGGAGGGTGACGACGTGGACTGCGCCCCTAGCAGCCCTTGCCCCGACGACGAGACCAGGACCAACGTCTACTCCGACCTGGGGTCTTCGGTGTCCTCCAGGTGGCCCCTTGGTCTAGGATAGCATTTGGGGTCACAAGTGGTAGAACCAACCTAAGCACATCCTGAGGGGTTGGGCGGGCCGGGTCCTGAGCTGGCCCCATTTCCTTTGTCCTAAGTTCTGCTCCTGGGGGCTGGGGTTGCTGCCTTTGCACCCTGATTGGGGGTCAGGAGTTCCTCCTGAATTTGCTGACCTAGGTGGCTGCACACTGGGGGCCACGGGGCTCTGTGCTGTCTTGTGTCCTAGAACCTCAGTGCTGAAGGGTCCTTCCAAGTGACCTTCTGTGATAACTTCTCACCCAGCAGAGCCACCACTTTCCCTGAAATGAGTTCTCAGTTTCCCTTAGCTGTTAAATGGGTATGCTTCACTGGCTTCTCTTTGAGTGTGTCAGAGAAGGGATGACCTGTTGCTGTGTTTCCACTCCCTGCCCCTCCCCCTAAGAAGGTCCTGGGGACTGAAGTAAGGTCAGCTCAGCAGGGTGGCGTGGGGCAGCAGACTGGACAGCAGCTGAGGTGGTGATTCCTTTCCCTCATGAATCAGTGCGGGGCAGACGCCTAGGAAAATGCGGCACGTGTACAACAGCGAATTGCTGGACGTTTACTGCTCTCAATGCTGCAAGAAAATCAACCTGCTCAATGACTTGGAAGCCCGGCTGAAAAACCTCAAGGCCAACAGGTGAGGCCCAACCCAGTAGGGGAGCGGGAGGCCCAGGCAGAGCCTTCAGGGAGAAGCTACAGGCAAGGCAGCCCCTGCTATCTGGGCAGGTGTGAGCTCTCAGAGGGGGTTAATCCAGGGGCTTTTTCTGCCACTGGGTATCAGTCTGTTTTCTCTCAGGACCAAGCTGACTAGTGAGCTCCTTTCAGTGGGAGGGAAGAGCCTTGTCCTACATTTTGGTGTCTTACAGCAGGGACAGGGTAAGGGAGTGGACTAGAGCCCCTCTGTTCAATAACTGTTTCCTCTCTCTCCAGCCCCAACCGAAAGATCTCCAGCACGGCCTTTGGACGGTAAGGCCCCGCCTTGGGGGAAGGCACCTTGAGTGCTGTCCCCGTGCTGCCCACTGGCCAGGGCTCCATGCCGGCTGGTGCCTGCGTGTGGCCGAGGGCAGAGGGGAACGAGGCCATCCCAGGGCAGTGCAGCCAGGGCAGCGTCCACTTCCAAAACAGAGGGGCAGCTCCTCCCTGCCCTCTCCCCACTCTTTGTCCCTTCTTCAAATCTTGGGTCACCTTGACCTCAGGCAGGCAGGCCAGGGATGCCCCGAGAGAGACAGGACACCCCCCAGCTGTCAGTGCCCTCCCTCCTCTTGGAGTGGGCAGCCGTACTCAGTAAAGAGACCCCGGGTTTCCTGCAGGCGGGGATCTGGGTGTAAGTGTGTGCCACTGGGGCTGGTCACTTTGCTCCAGTTAAGTTCTGCAGCAGCTGACTTCTGGGGACTGCTAGGGTCCCACTCTGGTCCCCTGTGGACTGGTCCCAGGTGCACACTTGGGGCTTTGGAAGCTGGCAGCGAGGGCCCAGGCCCTGGCCCAGGAGCTGAGTGGATCAGCCTCTTGGTGTAGACCCCGGCTATTGCCTATCAGGGAATAGGAAAGGGATGTAACTGGGGGTAGCAGCTGGATTTTGCCTCAGGCACGGGTTAGCTCAGCAGGCACCTGCCTGGGCCCAGCCCCACCCCAGCTGACTGCCCTGCAAGGCCTGGTGAATTCTCTGCCTTTGCCATCCCCAGAGTTCCCAGGGATGTTCCATGCAGGAGCCAGCTTGGTGGAGGGGCTCAAGCCTCAGGAGGCCCAGACCCTCTGCCAGGACCACGGAGCTGGGCTACCTCCTCAGGGGCTTCCCCACTGGAAGAGGAGGGGCCTCCTGTGCCAGCTCAGGTCACTGGGTAGCTGCAGGCCGGCATCTGGTGTGAAGAGGGCTCTGAGGCCGCAGGAGAAGCTGTGCCGCACTGGCCGTCTGCCAGGGCACATGGGGGTCTGTACAGCCCGTCGGCCGTCCTCAGGGCTGGATGATCCACTGGGTTCGAAATGCTCTCCCTCTCGGGCTGAGTGAGGGTGCCCTTAAAGGGGCAGACCCCCTAGGGTACTGGATGCTCACCTAGCATGTAGCCTGAGTGGGCCTCTGTCTCTGGAAGGCTCCAGCAGCCAATTGCCCTCCCTCCACCCCTGCAGGCAGCTCATGCACAGCAGCAATTTCAGCAGCAGCAACGGCAGCACCGAAGACCTGTTCCGGGACAGCATTGACTCCTGCGATAATGACATCACAGAGAAGGTGGGCCCGGGTGGCTGGAGAAGGGACGAAATGTGTGCATGCTCCCAGGGGAGGTGGGGAGCACTCTGGCTACTGTCTGGGGACTCGGGAGACCTTGTTCCTGCCCAGAAATTGGGGGTAGGTGGCCCTGGTCACGTGCTCTCTCCCCCTCCACACGACCGTTCTCTGATACGTGGTGGTTTCGAGGTCCTGCTCAGGAACCTCATGGCGTCGAGGTTCTCAGTTCTGTGGCCTCAGAGTTCTTCTCCACCCCATTGTGGCTCCCTGCTGCAGGTGAGCTTCCTGGAAAAGAAAGTGACAGAGCTGGAGAATGACAGCCTGACCAACGGGGACCTGAAGAGCAAGCTGAAGCAGGAGAACACGCAGCTGGTGCACAGGTCAGGCGGGCGGCAGTGCTGGGGGCTCGGTTGTGACTCTGGGGAATAAAGTGGGGGATCCTTCTTGCTGAGGCCTCCGGGAGGAGGCAGCCTCACGCCTTTGCAGCTTTGAGTTCCTCTTGTCACGTGGCCCTGCCCACATGGGGTGCCCAAGACAGGACCTTAAGGACAGGGAGACAGGTTGGAGCCCCACCTTGGCTCCGGGGCCAAAGGATTCCACCCGCTGAGGTCTGCAGCCCCAGGGCGGGTCCAAGATGGGAGTGGGGGTCTGCCGTCTCTCACTCACAGTGATGGGAGCCTGCGTCCCTTCCTAGGGACAAGCTCTGCCCGGGACAGGCCAGCGTGAGCTGGGCAGTAGGAAGGGTCCAGCATTGATGCCAATGGAGACCCCTGAGCCTGATGTTTCTGATGCTGTCTTCAGTGGCAGTTGCAGGGTCTAGTTGTCAGCAGATGATATGACCCTTAGGGGACATATCCTGACTTGGGGTCCGGTCCTCCATCTTGTCACAGGGCCCAAATATGGCTGGCCATATCACCCCAGATGATTAGCCTGGCGGAGGTGCTATTGCCAGTGAGATGTACCCCAGACCGAAATACCACCCAGGCTGTCAGCCGTGGGGGTGCTCCCATCTACATGCCACTGGCCCTTTTCCAGGTCTGGGGCAGACTTCAGGCCATCAGCCAGGATGTCCCTATTTTGGGAGTCAAGGTGCCCAGTACAATAAGCTGAATTATTGATCAGAGGGGTGGCTAGGAAGGAAGAGTGCAGAAAGGAGTTGAGGCCCGAGGCGGTTCCGTCCAGGTGTGGCCGCAGGGACTGGCGGGGGCTGGCCCTCCCTGTGCTGCCCGGAGCGCCTCGCCTTCCGAATGCCAGGCCTGCCCCAACACAGCATGTATGACCGATACCCCCCTAGATGTGTGGTGTCCCTGTTCATCTGTCCGAAAGCTGCTGGCCCAAGCGACTCAGGGTCTCAGGTCCCAGGGTCCCCCGTGCCGTAGCCTGGGTTGGGGTGAAATGGTGCTAGCCCCAAAAGCTTCTCCCTTGTGCTGTCCTCAGGGTGCACGAGCTGGAGGAGATGGTGAAGGATCAGGAGACTACGGCCGAGCAGGCGCTGGAGGAGGAGGCGCGGCGCCACCGCGAGGCCTACGGCAAGCTGGAGAGGGAGAAGGCCACCGAGGTGGAGCTGCTCAATGCCAGGTGGGCCCTTCCACCGAGCCCCTCCCTCAGGGGACCCCTCCGTGCCGCCCCGGGGCAGCCCTGTGGGACAGGTGCTGTCCCCATTTTTACAGGTGGGAAGCTGAGGCTGACCAAGGGGCAGCCTCTGGAGCCTTCCCGGTAGTAACAGTTGTACGAGGCATGCGCTTCAGGAAGTTCGCTAAAGAATGTTCCCAGGAGCATTGCTCGCATTTGCTAATGCGAACTACACAAATGCCTGTCAGCCAGAAACGAGGTATTAATATAAAAAAAAATAAGAGGGGGAGGCGGCACCTGGGCTGGGTCTACTGTCCAGGCTTGGAGCGCCCCCTGCTGTCAGGTTCTGCCCTGAGCCCCGGTGGACTGAGCCGGAGTCCCAGGGCCAACCAAGGTAAATAGAAAACGGGGCTCCTGTGCCTTGGGTGTACGTGTGGTTTCGTCATTGGAACGTGAGGCAGGCAGGACGAGGAGCAGCCCGGGGCTAGGGATCTGGGTTGGTTTCCCATTGGCTCCATGGCCTTGGACGTAGTGGGTCACCTCCCTGTCTGCCCCACAGACAGGGGCAGGGTGGGAGGGTGAGCCGATATTCGTCAGGACCCTGCCCACGGGTGAGGGCTGTGATGATGCCCCTGTGGTGAAGCCCCTTTGTGGCCCTTGCCCGACTCCAGGGAGGCCGCCTGGGCTTCCGTCGGAGAGGACAGCTGCCCCTGGCACTCCTGAGGCCCCCCGAGGCCCCAGTCCCCATGCTGAGGCTTCCCGGAGTTGCTGAGACACCCCTGGTGGCCGGTAGGCTGCTGAGCAAATGGCCGGGACTTGGGCTCTCAGGCAGGTACCTCCCTACCCTGTGCGGTTTGGCGAGGGGACTTCCCAACTTCCCGGTGCTGAGAGCTGCTTTGCTAAGCTACCCAGCAGGGGTTCATTTTACATTTTGACTCTGTTCTAGAAGCTGCAGAGGCTGGTGCCTAGTTAAGGGTGACTGCTCTCACTCAGCTCGTCTCTGGCATCTGGCCCAAGAGAGGTGGCGGGGGCATGGGAGGTGGTAAAAGACAGTGTGAATCTGGGCCAAAGAGCAGAAAGCGAGCCCTCAGGAACCATCTCTTAACACATGCCCCTAGCAGAGCTCAGGGGGCGCCACTCATGAAAAATACCCAGGTGGTCTTCCCAGAGTCACGCCGCATGCTTGGTTCCCTACCACCTCCACCAGCGCAGGGCCACCTCCGGGTGGTGGGGCTGAATTCCTCTCTGGTCCAAGGGAGCCCGGAGGGCAGTGGAGGCGGAAGTGATGGAGAGGTGGTAGGTCGGGAACAGGGTGGTCTGCAAGAATCGGTGGCAGAAGTAACCCGGCTCAGTTCTGAGGTGACCCTGCTCAGTTCTGGTGCCGCCGCCAGCCCAACTCACCTGCGCCCCCTCTCAGATCATTTAAAACTGATCTGAGGCCGGGCACGGTGGCTCATGCCTGTAGACCCAGCACTTTGGGAGGCTCAGGCAGGTGAATCACAAGGTCAGGAGTTCAAGACCATCCTGGTAAAACCCCATCTCTACTAAAAATACAAAAATTAGTCAGGCATGTTGGCAGGTGCCTGTTATCCCACCTGCTTGGGAGGCTGAGGAAGGAGAATCGCTTGAACCCAGGAGGCAGAGGTTGCAGTGAGCCAAGATTGCACCACTGAGACTCTGTCTCAGAAAAAAACAAACAAAAAACTGACCTGGGCAGCCAGCTCTGTCTTCTTGCGGAGTTCCTGTGTGAACACTAACACAGAGGACTGTTACTGTCAGAGCCCTTGCCTGTGGTCATCAGAGGCATGTGCAGTGAGCACTCAGAGCAGAGCCCTGGAAGAGATGCTGTTGGTGGAGAATGAAAAGCCAGGATGGTCATTGCCTTCAATTACAGCGTCTAAAAGGAGGGGCCCCATCACAGACAGCCACAGGAAGACTGTGTCTCCATCTAGCAGAATAACATCGCATGTGGTTTCAGGATCTGAAAGATACGCATCCAAAAAGAATCTGGTGTTCTTACTCTGTAATGAGTGTTTCCGCTTGAAATGACGGCCATGTGTGGCAGCTCACTCATGTAATCCCAACACTTTGGGAGGCCAAGATGGGCAGATCACGTGAGGCCAGGAGTTTGAGACTACCCTGGCCAACATGGCGAAACCCTGTCTCTATTAAAAATAAACAAAGTTAGTTAGGTGTGGTGATGCATGCCTGTAATCCTAGCTGTTCAGGAGGCTGAGGCATGAGCATCGCTTGTGCCAGGGAGGCAGAGAGGTTGCAGTGAGCCGGGATTGTGCCACTTTACTCCAGACCTGGCGACAGAGCAGGACTCTGTCTCAAAAAAAAGAAAAAGTAAGAATGATAACTTAGCGTCTTTATTGTTTTGCTTTGGCTGATGGGAAGCTCAAGGCTATATTGTTTTTTCACATAATTATTCGTATTCTTTCTTTCAGTTGGTTTCTGGTATCTTCCCTCTTGCAGGGAGCAGAGAATTGCTGCAGCCTGGCAAGCCCTTGTGAGATGGTCTCCATTCCAGGTCTCTGAGCTCTATCTTTCTCCTTTCCCCAGGGTGCAGCAGTTGGAGGAAGAAAATACAGAGCTTAGAACAACAGTGGCTCGGCTCAAGTCTCAAACAGAGAAACTGGATGAGGTGAGCAGCAGGTCCAGGCTTGGAGCCGAACCCACAGGGGCAGTGCTGGCCATCGGGGGCCTTCAGTTCATAGCTTCTGAAATTCTAAACAAATGCCCGTACCCACTAAGAGATTAGGGGAAAAAAAAAGTGAATAACGACTTGTGTTTCTGTATTTCTGATTTTCCAGATTTTCTACGGCAAATGTATTTATTTATACAATGGAGAAAAATTAGTCTTAAAAGAGAAAGAGCTTAGTTTCTCTTTGGGCAAACATCTTCAATTCAGGTTGCATCTAGCATTGTTGAAGGACTTCAGAGGGCTGAGGTTTTTAGCTGTGTAGAATCTTTAGGGCTCTGGCCCTTTCTGTAAACCAGGACTCAGGCCTCCCTCTAAGGGAGCTGGTTTCACTGTGCATCTGCCTCATGAGCATGGCTGACCAGCCCCCAGGGCATGGGCAGCCCTCTCTGGGAACTCTCCTCCCCTGACCGGGTCTCCCTTCTCCAGGAGCGGCAGCGCATGTCTGACCGTCTAGAGGACACCAGCCTGCGGCTCAAAGACGAGATGGACCTATACAAGCGCATGATGGACAAGCTGCGGCAGAACCGCCTCGAGTTCCAGAAGGAGCGGGAGGCAACGCAGGAGGTGGGTCCCAGGCCAGCAGGCCCCGGCGCTCCTTCCAGCGTCCCTGCTCCCGCCAACCTGCCTCTATCCCTCACAGCTCATCGAGGACCTGCGGAAGGAGCTGGAGCACCTGCAGATGGACAAGCTGGACTGCGAGCGGCTGGGCCGGGGGCGGAGTGCCTCCTCTGGCCTGGGCGAGTTCAGTGCCAGGGCCCGCGAGGTGGAGCTCGAGCACGAGGTTAAGCGGCTCAAGCAGGTGGGTCTAGCGGTCTGTGTCCGGTGGGGTGGGGTGGCCGGGTCAACCACATGGGTTTCCTGTGCAGGGTCCGTGGCAGGGGACCCCGGAGCTGTAGCAGCACTGCCTGTCTACTTCTTGACAACCCATCTGTCAGGTCTGGCTGTCCCATTTCACAGCTTAGGAATATCGATCGGAAGATCTCTTCTTTACGTCCATATAAAGAAACACACACTGCTCTCTGCCTTGGTGCTTGGGGTGGAGAATGAGCCTCTACCCAGCTGGAGTGTCGTGCTCGGAGGCACTGCGTTCTCCCAGGAGTAGACCCTGGGCCAAGGATCCTTTTTTTTTTTTTTTTTTTTTTTTTTTTTTTTTTTGAGACAGGATTTTACTCTGATACCCAGACTGGAGTGCTTTGGCACAATCGTAGATCACTGCAGCCTTGAATTCCTGGGCTCAGGTGACCCTCCTGCCTCAGTCTCCTGAGTACCTATGACTACAGGCATGCATCGCCATGCCCAGCTTTTTTTTTTTTTTTTTTTTTTTTTTTTTTTTTTTTGAGGCAGGGTCTTACTGTGTTGCCCAGGCTGGAGGGCAGTGGTGTGATCCTGTCTCACTGTGGCCTCAAATTCCTGGGCTCAAGCAGTTCTCCTACTTGAGCCTCTAAAGTAGCTAGGACCACAGGAGAGTACCACCACACCTGGCTAATTTATTATTTTCTTGTAGAGATGGAGTCTCCCTGTATTGCCCAGGCTTGAACTCCTGGGCTCAAGGGATCTCCCACTTGAGCCTTCCAAAGTGTTGGTATTACAGGCATGAGCCTCTGTGCCTAGCCAGAAGATTGCATTTCAAGGAGCACTCCCTTACCTGGAGACCCCCTGGTGGGGGAGTGGGATCAGGAGGAGGGGGGAGTGAGCAGGTGAGGGAGTGGATCTGGAGGAGAAGGGGGAGTGAGCAGGCGAGGGAGTGGATCCGAGGAGAGGGAGTGAGCAGGTGAGGGAGTGGATCCAAGGAGCGGGAGTGAGCAGGCGAGGGAGCGGATCCGAGGAGTGAGCAGGTGAGGAAGTGAGCAGGTGAGGGAGCGGATCCGAGGAGGCGGGGGAGTGAGCAGGCGAGGGAGTGAACAGGCGAGGGAGTGGATCCGAGGAGGGGGAGTGAGCAGGTGAGGGAGCGGATCTGAGGAGGGGGAGTGAGCAGGCGAGGGAGCGGATCTGGTGGCAGCCATGGGAGTGGTGCTGGGTGAAGTGTCAGCTCTGCCTGACCCTGCAGGTGGTAGGGTATGCAGCATAAATTTTTTTTCCGAATAGTTCCACTGGGCAAAGGTGCTGGTGCCTGTGTCCCCACAGAAGCCCTAAAACCCCAGCCTTACTCTGTCTTGGGGCCGGTACCCAGGGTCCCAGGTGTGAGTATTAGGGCTCTTTAGGCAAAAGCCAGAATGTGGGGCTGGTACGTGGGATCTAGGCGGTGCCACCTGTGCTCAGAGGAGAGGGAGTCCCTGGGATAACTCCAAGCAAGCAGGATTCGGAGCGTGGCTGCACAGGGAGCTGTTCTGCCTGCCCAGAGAGCCCCGAGCGTCACTTTCCTTCAGCAAGGGCCAGTGTTGGAGGCTGGGCTGTTGGGTGGGTTGTGTCCCAGTGCAGGGCCCCAGGAGGAAGGGGTGGCCAGGAGCCATGGCTGCCCTGAGCGGGGCTATAACTCCTCTGCAAACCCTGTGAACTCTCAGGACGCCGGGTCCCTGGACCCGGACCCGGACCCAGCCCTCCTACTCCCCAGCACCTGGCAAAGGCCACAGCCTCCCTGGTCTCTGGAACTGGCCGTGAGCGATGCGCTCCTGTGAGGATGTCGCTGGCGGCAGGTCGGGGACGGTGGATGTGGAGAAGTGGGTTCCAGTGGGCTGTGGGTGCCTCTTAGGGTTGATTGTCGATTTCGTCCTTCTCTCTGTAGGAGAATTATAAGCTGCGGGATCAGAACGATGACTTGAATGGACAGATCTTGAGTCTCAGCCTCTACGAAGCAAAAAACCTCTTTGCCGCCCAGACCAAAGCCCAGTCTCTGGCTGCAGAGATAGACACCGCCTCACGCGATGAGGTAACCTCGTCCACCGGCTCCTGCTCTGGGGCCTGGCCCCTCCTCTGTGATTCCTCCTCCCAGCCCCCACTTGTCCAGGGTGAGAAAACCCGACCAGGGCCTGGCAGAGAGTCCCATCGACAACTACCCCAGGTGACAGAGGGCAACGCTGTGAGCAGGGCAGGGGGCTGCCAGGGAAGTTGAGTCAGCTCCGAGTTCTGCCTGTGCTGGAAGGCGTGCAGGTTTGGACGAGAGTGGAGTGTGGGTCTTAGGTCTGCCGGAAAAGCGCCGACACCACCAGCTGAGTGTATCACCTGTGACCCCAGGTTAGGCTGCCGGTCATCCCCTCTTCCGGACCCAGAGGGGCAGGACCTGAGCATTACCCCGGCACCTGCTTCCGCGGTGTGTTTTCACTTCTCCCGACGAATCTGAAGCGTTAGGAACAGCTCCGTTTTCCAAGCCAGGAAGGTGGGCCCGGTACCTCCTGGCTAGGGAAGGAGAGGGACCCAGCTCTCTCCAGAGCCAAAGCCTGCCCTTCCTGCCACACCAGAGGGTGGTTAGGAAGAGTCAGGCCTCCAAAATGCCCCAGCTGCATTTTAATGTGAATTATGAGACACTCTGTCACTGAGACTTACCCCCTGGCCTGGGACACAGGGCGAAGAGCTGACCTCTGGCCTCAAGGAGCTCCCAGGTGAGCTGGGCCCAGCCCCAGGACAGAGCAGCATGTCAGCAGTGTTCTAAAGGACACCGCCCTGGAGAAGAGCAGCGTGGGGCTGCGGGTGGGAGGGTGTTCCAGGCAGGAGATAGCTGCCCTTTGGAGTCTTAGGGGGCCCTGGGACTTTGTCAGTCTTGATTTTAAATGACTTTGGCCAGTGCTGTCTGCTTTTACAAAAATTACCCACACCTGGCCCCCTCTACAACCTGATCACACTGGAATCTCCAGGGGTGAGGCCTGGCCACCGGCATCTGTCATACTCCCCAGGTGGGGCTGAGCCACTTCGCCTCTCGTCCTGGCATCCAAATGCTGAGGCTGTCCTGGGGCCCGCCTTGCCCAGGGTCTCTGATGCCCTCTGTCGTCAGGCACTGGCCTGCTCCAGGCCTGGGAATCCGAACTCTGCCTGCACCCCATCCCAGGCCCGTCCACTGACCTGTCTTTCCCATTCCCTTCAGCTAATGGAAGCCCTGAAGGAGCAGGAGGAGATCAACTTCCGGCTGAGGCAGTACATGGACAAGATCATCCTCGCCATCCTGGACCACAACCCCTCCATCCTCGAGATCAAACACTAAGGCATGGGGCTGGCTGCAGAGCAGCCTCAGGACCCTGGGACAAGGGGCGGACCCTGCTTGAGGATGCAGGCCTCAGCCAGGCCTCACACTCACACTGTAAATGTGTCTCTGGCCACCATGCGTTACGTGTACCCGTGTATATGTGGGGAGGCTGTGCGCGTGAGCGAGGGGTGAGTGGCCGTGGCCGTGGGCAGTGTCCACACGGTTAGCTGTGCATGCACTTTGTGGCCCCTTTTCAAGGGGCAGAGGGTACTGGAAGTGGGAGGGGGTGAGGTCTACTATCAGGAGTTACTGTAAAAACAAGAACTGGAAGCTCGTGTTTCCGGTACTGGGTAAAATGATTCTACCTCTGGGGATGAGGATTCACGTTCGCTCTCGTGCGATGGGCTCTTTCGCCGCACTCCTCGTCCCGCTGGGAGTGGGAGCAAAATCATGATCTTTCCCGGGAGTTTAAATTCCCCATATTTGTGTCCTCGCCAGCTCTTTGGCCACCTTTCAGACCCCACTGTTCAAGCAAAGAGAGGATGAAGGGGCATCTGGAGGGTCCACGAGATGGGATCCCCACCAAACACCATGGCCCCCAGCCGGCAGCCCTCTGTGATGTGTGCACAGAGTGAACAGGACTCAGGTGTCAGAGGAGGTGGTGCGGGCATCCTCATCCTGCAGAGTTCATGCACCCCTCGCCCGTGCTACCTACCTCCCACTTGCTGTTTTGGTTTGGTTTTTAAGACAATGAAGCAGTATTCACTGGGTGTAACAAGAAGGGATAAAAACGAAGGAGAAAAAGAGCGTTTGGGATGGAGTGTCTAAGGCAGGAGTTGACATCCGGCAACCAAAGAAATGGTTTTTTGGGAAGGAACGCAGCTCCCATCCTGGTCAGTTTCCTTCCCACAGCTGCATCTTAAGATGGATGCGTGGAGAGGCCGTCTGCCTGGCTCCCTGTCTTGATTCTCCACGCAGCCTGGTGATGACAGGCCTTGGGTTTGGATTTCAGAATCCGAGCTCCGGGTTCCACTTGTGTGGCAGCAACACTGCTTCGCTCCAGCGTGTAGGAACACACCTGTATTTGGTTCTCAGCACTGACAGGAGGCAGGTGGGAAAGTTGCGGGAAAACCTTAGTCTTCCATCCTCCAACCCGTGGTAGAAATTCACACCATGGATTTTTAATGGATCTTTTGTTCTAGGCAGCTGGGAGTAGACATGGTACTTAGAGTTTTCCAATCTCTCTCGATTTTATATGGCTTGTGATTCATTTTCTTAACCCAAATATATATAAACGTGTGTGGTCTTATTCTTTCCCCTGCAGTTTCATGTTTTCTTCAGCACATCTTATGGTATGAGAAGGAAGGTTTGGGCATGTTGGGATGGTCAGTGGAGGAGGAGATACAGAGAAGAGAAGGCAGTGAGGGTGAGGAGGGGATCTGGGGGCTTGGGTGTGACCCCTGCATGACAAAGGCAGGGCTGCGGCCAGGACCAGCCTTCATCCCATTCCATTCAATGTTTGCATTTGTTCGATCCTGCGGCTTCTTTTTAATCCTATGTTGGGGATTAGTTTCATGCTGCAAATAATGGGGTCGCATTGGTCTGACCCAGGACTTTGGAGCCACCCACACTGAGAAGACGGCTAGGCAGTCGGTCTTCTAGGAGTCTCTCGGCCCCTTAAGACGGGGTCTCCTTGGGCTCCCCCGAGGGTCTGCGAAGAGGCAGTGGAAGAAGGCAGGAGGAGGGGGTCTCTTGAGAATTTGCTGATAGGAAGGAATGGCCACTGAGGGAAGGAACAAGACAGATCCTGAGATGGCTTTGGTCTGGGTGTTAGGTCGGAGGGAGTATTGGTCCGTGGGGACCTTCCCCCAGGGATGACTGTTTTATTTGTAAACTGTTATCTGCTCTTTGGCTGCTTGGAATTTCAGAGAAGGCTGCACAGCCTGAGCTACACAGCCTGGAAAGAATCTCTGCCCCAGGAAGGCGGGAGGAAGCAGCTGGCAGCCTGCAGCGTGCTTCCGGCTCCTCCCTCTAGGGGGCGCCGTGGGAACAGGCTCCGGGAGGCAGCCTGAGTCCGAAAGTCCCCCTCCACCCCGCACCCCAACCTGGTGCAGCACCAGAGGGGCCTCTGGAACAGGGCTGGCTTTTAAACGAGGGGCTGAATTCCAGCTCACACACACCTCAAGTCCAACCTTACTTTCTTCAGCCAGAATACATTTCTTGTAAAGCCTGGCCTGTTGGCTTGGCTTTTAAAGATCATGTATGTTTGTAAAAATACCCTTATGGGCTCAAAAGCTAGCTTGAGGGGGCAGATGCCCTCGGGGTCCCAGCTCCACAGCCCCTGGCAGATCCCAGAGCCCTTGGTGGTAGAGATGGAGAGCCTGATCTGTTTCTGCCCTTACCCCTCAGTAGTGGGGCTGCAAAGTAGTAGACAGGATGCCCAGTTAAGTTTGAATTTCAGATGGACAAATAATTTTAGAATATGTTCCACCCAGTACTTGGGATGATGTTATTTTTAGAGAGAGGGTCTTGCTCTGTTGCCCAGGCAGGAGTGTAGTAGCAGTATGATCGCAGCTCACGATAACCTTGAATTCCCAGGCTCAAGAGATCCTCCTGCCTTAAATGCCCGAGTATCTGGGACTACAGGCGGGTACCGCCACACCCAGCTAATTTTTCTTATTTTTTTTGTAGAGACAGGATCTCACTGTGTTGTCTCACTAAAGCAGCTGGCCTCAAGTGATCCTTCCGCCTCAGCCTCCCAAAGCACTGGGATTATGGGCATGAGCCACCATGCCTGGCCAGGACATGTTTTAAATGGAGAATTTAAAAACTTCTCATGATTAGACTGAATCCTCAGATGTCCTGGTTTAGTTGTGAGTGTAGCCCAGGCATGGAAGTGTTTCAAGAGCTACTCAGGTGGTTCCAATTTAATTGGGTGTCCCACGTGGGTTTTGGTTTTGTTTTCTTGGTTGGTTGTTGCTAAACGTGGCAATCCTACTAAGTAGGGATTAGCAGCAATTTACCTGAAATTTAGAGGTGTTTTTTGGGTAGGGCAAGGGTTTCTGTAGTAGACTCAGATTTTACATGGCCCTGAGCTGCCCTTGCATTCAGTTGGAAGCCACACAAAATTAGCTGAACCAGGAGTGAGCTTTGTATACAGTATCTAGTAGGAAATGAAGTGCCTTCTGGTTCAGCTAGTCTCTGCGGTAAGAGGCTTTAAGAAATTTCTAGTAAAAAAATTTTTTCAGGCTGGGCGCGGTGGCTCACACCTGAAATCCCAGCACCTTGGGGGGCCGAGGCAGGCGGATCACCTGAGGTTGGGAGTTCCAGACCAGCCTCACCAACATGGAGAAACCCTGTCTCTACTAAAAATACAAAATTAGCCAGGCGTGCTGGCGTGTGCCTGTAATTGTAGCTAATCAGGAAGCTGAAGCAGGAGAATCGCTTGAACCTGGGAAGTGGAGGTTGTGGTGAGCCGAGATCGTGCCATTGCAATCCAGCCTGGGCAATAAGAGAGAAACTGTCTCAAAAAAAAAAAAAAAGTTTTTCTCTTTCAACTTTGAATTGGCCAGAGTTAACCTTAGGTTATTTTATTTTAAATTGGTAGATTTCTTTGAGAACTGTCACAGGGAAATTCCTTTTTGTGACTTTATTTCTGACCTATTGAAACACGAACAGGACAGGTGTGATGGCTCACTCCTGTAGTCCTAGCACTTGGGAGGCAGCGGCAGGCGCATCGCTCGAGCTCAGGAGTCCGAAACCAGCCTGAGCAACATTGTGATACCTCGTCTCTATCAAAAATAAAAAATAAAACACCAAGCTCAAGAACCTGCATGAAAGCCTGAAGCAGTGGGCTCAGCTTTAGCTGTGCATTGGAATCACCTGGGGAGATGTTTAAGCTGCTGATGCCTGGGCTGAACCCCCAGAGGTTCCCATTGAATTGGTGTGGGGTGTGGTCCAGGCATCCGGATGTGTAAAGACCTCCCCAGGTGGTGGTGATACGCAGCCCGAGGTTGAGACTCCCCCATCCTGGAAGTTCATTGGCCAGAGGTAGAGGAAACTGGTCGAAGTGGCTGCTGGGCTTGTCAAGCCAGGGCTGAATGACAGCGAGCTCTCCTGCTGGGAGGGTACCTTTTCCTGTTATGTTGTTGAATGGTCCTGGCCTGCAGGATGGGAGGCCAGATGCCTTCAAGGGCTGGTGGATCCAGCTGTTCTCACCAGCCTGGAGGTTAACAGACCAGAGTGTGTGGGCAGGACCTCAGCCTGGTGCCTCTGAAGTCAGTGGGTGGCACGCGTTGGGATATACTGGCTACAGACTCATTCCAAAGAGCAGGTAGAACAGAGTCAGCAGGAAACTGACAGGTGGGTGTGTCCCCCGGAAAGCAGCCTCCGAAACAGCTGCCACCTACTTACATAGCTGAGCAGGAGGAGATGCTGTCTTTGCGGGTCTTGCCTGTGGTCTGCTTCCTGACTGGGTTGGTGAGGGAGCCCCAGCTCTTTCCCTGTTAGCCAAACCAGCATCCCACTCACACAGCGGACACCCCAGGTGCTAGTCCACTGGTGCTGGTGGTCCCGAGGGGCACAAGCACAGGATCTTGCTTCCAATGAGGACTTAGCAGAAGCCTCCAGGGGCCGGGTGAAATTGGGAGAAATGAAGCCCTCTTTCTGTGCGCTATATGTATGTGTGTGAGGTTAACGCATTAGCAAATTTAAACTTAAAACTAACTCTAGGCTGGGAACGGTGGCTCATGCCTGTAATCCCAGCTCTTTGAGAGGCCAAGGTGGGTGGATTGCCTGAGCTCAGGAGTTCAAGACCAGCCTGGACAACATGGTGAAACTCTGTTTATTTTTAAAAATATGATTATGAAGCCGAAGGCTGTGAAGTGAAAAAAAAAAATCGTACCAGGAAAGTCCTGCATGGTCACCATGCCAAGAAAATGACTTTGGTTGCCTGGTAGATCCACAGTGACACTTTCTTAAGGACTGCCGTCGTGGATTCTAGATTGAGGAAAGGGACCACCTAGGACTCAGCTCTTGTATTCGCCACAGTCCTTTCTCCCAGACTCTGGCCCTCCTTTTGGAACCTAGGGAATCCCCTCCAGGGTGATGTTGCTGGCTGTTAAGACTGAGGCCTGCTGTGCCAAGGGGCCTCAAGTTAGAAGGGCTGTGCCTTCAGTGGATGACTGAGCCCTGATCCGAGGGACCCGCTGGGTCCTGACTTCCTGCCCTGAGCACACACATGAAGGGAGGAAGCAGCAGAGGCTGGAACCAAGAGCCTGCCCTCCCTGCACGGCAGGACCGCACCAAGGCCCTCTGCCATATTCTCTGCTGCCCACCGGAGAAAATAGGCTGCTTTCTAGAAAGATTTGTTTCTAAAAGTGTAGACCCAGGGGAAGCATAATGCCACCATGCTCACCAGGCGAGGTTTCCCGTAGGACCTTCATGCCCCGACCTCGTAGGTTGCTCCTCTTCCCATCTGTTAAGGTAGAGATGTCTGCTCTGGGGCCACCAGCTGCGGATGTCACCCAGGCCATGTCTCCTGCAGAATCCAAGTGCTGTTGTCCCAGGGAGACCCTGCCCCCTGCCGGGGCACACCTGCTTTGCTGTGCTGCACAGCCTGTTTTCCTCTGCATGGTTTGGGGTCTTTGTCCTTGTGCCTTTTCTTCCCCGTCGCCACTGTACAGGATTTTCCACATCGCCCACTGCCTCCTTCCTACATCGTCTCGTCTCCCTGGCCTTCCCTGGGCCCTGTAAATGTGTACTTTATCCACGTGCCTCCCCTCTGTGAGGCCAGCTGTCCCCGGCAGGTTTATCCGCAAGGATCAGGCCCCGCTTACCCTCACTCAGCCTGTAGACTGGGTAACTTCGTGCAGAATCTTTCATTACCGTCTTAAGCATGAGGGGCTTGGACCCACTGAGTCCCTCCTCCAGCCTGCAGCTAGTTTAGGAGGCTTGCATTCCAGAAAAGTGCAAGTTTATGTAAAGCAGCTTCTCCCACAAAGCTCTTCCTACACTGATAGTGATGTCGGGCTGAGCGTCACTCATTAACCTGGGGCTCTGGTCTCAGCAGGGATGTCACAGGCCTGTGGCTGCTCTGTGCGTGCACTGTCTCTGCCCCTGAAGGAAGCCCTGTCAGTGGTTCCTGGTGTACAGCCTTGGTTCTGTGTTGAGGCCACCACATCTGGGTCTAGAACAGCTGTGGGCCCCAATTGGGCAGAAGGAAGAGGTGTTTAGCTGCTACCCCTGCCTGCTGTGAACACCTGCCCCACCCTTGTCTACTGAGGTGCTCAGACCAGAGTGCCATTAAATACCCAACA